TTTTTATTTATTTATTAAATAAAAATATTAAAAAGAAAAGATTTAAGAAACAATTTTCTGAGAAGAAAATGTCAAGCTCTAGTTTACTGCAGTAGAATGCTAGTTTAACTGTAAATTGCAAATATTAAAATGAAAAAAAATCAATGTCATTGTTCTATAAATGTATCATTTTAAAAATTAAATTTTTATTAAAATTTCATGAAGCTTAAATTAAATAATCCATATTAAACACATTGTAAAAGAAGTTATGATAAACTTCCAAACCAAGAAAATTATGTTTGAAAAACCTTAGATATTTAGTTTATACAGTAACATAGTACGATCTGTGATGTCACATTTTACTTCCATTCCTGCCACATCTATGTAATACAGATAACTTAAAGTTGTCTACAAAAACTATTACAGTGAACAAAGGAATTGTAAGTTAATAAACTAAAACATTTTATAAGCAAAGGCTTATTGAATAGGGATATAACTAGCATATAGTTGTAAATTTGCATAGTGAACAAAATATTAATTTTAGACAAATTATATTCATTATGTTGAATGTGGAAAACACATATTACTAAAATGAAAACTTGTTATGCAACTGCCATGATCTCATGACAGTGTTTTATTGACATAAACATGGACAAATAAATCAACAGAATGGAGCCCATGCTACATGGGGTATATGTTTGTTAATGTCAAACAAACATCATACAGGGAGATAAGTCTAAGAGGAGGTGTATAAAGTCATTCCATTAGAAGGCTATGAACATTGTTGGTAGTAATTAAGTAAAACCTAAATCAGTAATGTACCATGTGCATGAATCAGAAGAGACACTATGGCTAAGATTTTAGTTCATGGCACATTGTTCAGTGTAAACCCCTTTGTAAATTAAGAAAAACTTAAAATTCTTACTACAGAAATCTGAAATAATCAAGACTGACAAAAAGGAGCAGAGTATAAACCACAATAGTACATATCATCAAGAATTAAAATCAAGGTCAGCAAAACAAAAATGATAGAAATATGTGACCAGTTGATTTTTCATTAATTAAGAGAGTTTAGTCATCATGTAATATTGAAGTGATTAGATATCCATATTCAGTAACATGACTTTGAGGCATATCTCATGCTATATACAAAATTAGCAAAGAATTAACAAAAATTTAAGTGTAAAATATGGAAGTTTTTAAATTCTAGAAAAAAATTTTGTGACCTTGGTTTGCCAAAAATTGCTTTATTGCAATGCCATAAATTTCTATAAATGAAAAATATCTGAAAATCATTATTAATAAATGAAAAATATGAATAATTAATGTGAATGAAGCGAGAATTAACAGTCTGGATACAAATATGTTTAAATCCCATTGATATACCATGATCAAGGGTTTGTATCCAGAGCAAAGCAAGAACTCTCAAAATAGTTCTGAGGAAATAACCAACAAATTAATAACATAATCAAAGATTTAAGCAGATACCTCACCAGAGAATATAAAGGTATGGCCAATCAGTACATGGAAAGATTTTGCTATTTTGGAAAGTGCAGGTTTAAAACATTGACCATATCAAATGTTGGTGAGGATATGAAGCAACTGGAACTCTCATACGCAGCTAGTGAGAAAGCAAAGTGGTGGAACACTGAAAAATCCTTTGACCCTCACCCCAGGTAATTACATACTACTATATTACCGTACTGTTGCACTTTGGAAGTTTACCCCAGACAAAAGGAAATATATGTCCATGCAATAGCTTGAATATTATCATTAATTTATACCAAATTCATTTATTGTGGTAGCCAACAAGGAAAGCATCTCAAATGTCCTTCAGTAGATAAATGGGTGGGCAAGCCATGGTATATCAATGTAATCAATACTACTTGCCAAGGAAAAATTAAGTAATTAGTATCCGTAGAGATATAGATGAATCAGAAAATACCTTGAGTGAAAGAGGTGCGAGACAAAATGGAGTATTATTGTATGTTCTCTTTATATAAACTTCTAGAAAATGCTAATTAATGCATAGTAGCAGAAAACAGGTATAGGTTTGGGCATACAACAGCCAGGGTTGTGTATGAGAGGCTCAAGGAATCCTTTGTATATAATAGTGTTTGGTATCTTGATTTAGGTGGTAGTTTCATCAGTTATAAAACTGGAACTATGTACTATTTAAAAAAGGCCAGTTAGAGCTGGGCGTGGTGGCGCATGCCTGTAGTCCCAGGACTTGGGAGGCAGAGGCAGGCGGATCTCTGTGAGTTCAAAGCCAGCCTGGTCTACATAGTGAGTTCCAGGACAGCTGGGGCTATGGGGAGACCCTGCTTCAAACACACACACACACACACACACACACACACACACACACACACACACACACACAGGCCAGTTATACCTGGTTAAAATTGTATGAAATGTGTTATTTGACATTGTGTGTTGCCTAGAGAGATAAGTCAGATTAATGAAACAATCAGGATATGTTTGTTGGTTTTTCTCTTTTTATGTAAACTTCACATTGACTTTGATATACAGTTAAAAGTACTATTCATTAGTGGATAAATTCAGGTCTTAAAATGAGCACAATATTTTCTGGCATGCTTATGTATGGTGATTTATCAACTTCCATGTAGTGATTATTCTTCAATCAAAATTGGAGAGAACTTTTTCTTTAGTCATATCCAAATGAATATATTGTCCTTTAAATTAAATCTAGCCTGATTACTCATGAACATGATTTAGATTTTTGTTTTATTTTTGTTTGCTTGTATGTCAGTCAGTGAAATTGTTGTCTCTTATGATTTAAGTTGCTTGACCAGAGGCTTAGAAATCTAGAGTTTACATATTGGGTGATAAGGGTATTGAAGATGGGACTTATCTTAAGGACAGAATGTTAATTCTATCCAAAGGAATACTGACAATGGATTGCCGTAGATGAGGAACAGCTGATCCTCCTGGAACAGGGACCTCTGGCTGACTAGATTTACCAGAAGGGCAGATAGGGGGGACTAGATGGGGGTCCTGACAACACAGTGGACAGTGGCAGGGATGACAGAGTATGGAGGCTCTAGTGGGAAAGGACGGCTGTATATCTGACGAGTTTATATTCATACTCAGATGCCAAGGAACTCAGAAAGTAAACGACTGTGACCAGTAATAGTCATATAGAGAGAGATTAGAAATGCATGCGAAAACGTCTCAATGTCAATTGCCTTAAAATGAATTTTTCTGTATGAAACTGTGTATTTAAATAATGAAATGGAGATCCTTTTCAAAGTTTAAAACCTCATTTAATTTTATGTCTTATAGGTTTTATACTGAGTACAATATTGTATAACCGTAATAATTCAACTGTAAACCTAAAAATGTACAGCCAATTTTGTAAGAGGTGCAGCCTAGCTCAGAAAACTGTT